TAAACCCGGGAGGCGGAGCTTGCAGTGAGCTGCGATCCGGTCACTGCACTGCAGCCTGGGCAACAGAGCGAGACTCCGTCTCAAAAAAAAAAAAAAAAACAAAAAAAAAAAAGGAAGGGTCCCAGGCAAAGCTCACGCTCTAGAAGCCTTGCCCCAGCCAGCCCTCTGAACCACCCCTACCTACTGTCATTGTCATCCCATTCAGGATCCCAGAAATGCCAGCCAGACCTCACTCCCTGCCTCCTCACCCGGTGCTTTCCATGATCTTCTGTGGGGCATCCTGGCAGGGGGGGATGTGCTGCTCCAGGGACCACAGGAAATAGCAGAGCCTCCGAACCAGCCAGCCCCGAAACCTGGGCACAGCTCCCAGAGCAGGAGGGAAGATCGTTCAGAGAGGGCCCACCTCCACCAGGGCTCACAGAGGGCTATTCAATCAGAAACGGACCACACCCCAGTCCCATGTCCCAGGAACACCTGAGCAGGAAGAACTGCCTGTCCATCTGTGCCCCATTCCCACCCCTCACCCTGCTGAGTCGGGGACAGGTTCACAGCCTGAAACACAGTGGGCAATCCACACATGCTCACAGAAGGAACTGCAGGAGAGCTCCACGTCTGCCCCTCCCTGCAGGCTTGTGGAACAGAGGACGGGGCCCTTCTTTTTCTATCAGAGCAAGAAAATGGCACCAAAAAGCAGGGCCCCAGCAGCCCTGCACCCAAGGGGCCCTGTCCCCAACCCTGCTCCAGTCTGTAGCTCTGACTACCTGGTGTTCTCCTCCTTCACCAGGATCACACTGCAGAAGCCTAGGTCCGTTATGCTTCTGTGGAAGAGGGACTCCTGCCAGAGAGGGGGAGAGACAGCATGTCTTGGGGGACCTTTGCAAACTGGCAAAGAAAAGCCCCTGTGCTGCCCTCTGGTCTCTGCCTGGTGGCCTGCCAAGTCTTCCAGGAGAAAACATTACAGCACCGTATTTCCCAAAGGCATTTGACCCCAGATCCTAGGCTGGCTCAGAAAAAGGGGCCCATGCTCAAAACTGAAGTGCTGTATCCTGTACAGAATCACCCTTTTTCAGGTGGCATATGCAAGTCTCCAGGAAGTTATCTTCTCAACAGCAGAGAACAGGCAACCCGGGTCTCCACGAGAAATCTGGGCCCCCTCACCACCATCACGTGGCACGAACCGAAAAAGAGGTCTTCAAGCATGAGCTGAGTGCTGGGGAAGTCTGAGAGGGTGGTGTCCCCAAAACTGAACAAGAAAACTCACACCGGCATGATGAGACCCCAGCCCCCTGGGCACACCCTACCACACTTAGGCCCCTCTGCACTTCTCCCACCCAACTCTCCCAGGCCTGGGAACAAGCCACAGCCCAACCACACAACCAATCCCAGTGCACCCCTTCCCCTGCAAGACAGAGGCAGAGGCATGGGGCAGGGAAGAGCCAAGCCTGGAAGGGCATAAAGGAAGCAGCTTCCCAGAGCTTCGACTCCCAGAACCAAGCTTCCTGGTCGCGGCCTGGCCCTACCATCACTCACCCAGCTCTTGGGGGTGCAGGTCTGGCAACAGCGACCCACAAAGGGGCGATACTTCCCCAGGAATGGGGTGATAGCCTCCAGCTTCATCCCAAAGCCTGAGGACCACAGGCTAGTCTGGAAAGGGCAATGAGGAGAGATGAGAGGACTCAAAGTCCTTGGCAGGAGAGAGGGAAAGATGGAGCGACACAGGCTCTAGAAGTAAGGGGCACAGCAGAAGGGGTGGCAGAGCAGAGGGGATTTGAGGAATGGGACAAGCCACACTACCTCTCGGCCACTGGGGCTACTTCTTGGCTGAGTCTGGCGTCTGCCTTCCAATATGGTGGCCATGAGAGCCTAGAAGAACCACGAACCAGTCACCTCTGCCACACTCCTTGTCCCCACAGAAACCTGAGCCAGGGAAAGGTAGAGGGATGGAGCCATAAGAATCTGAGCTATAATCCAGGGACTCCTGAAGTAACTGCAACCCCCCCATCACAGGACAGCCAGACATCACTTAGGCCATCAGCGGTAAGGAGAACCTAGGCTGGAAACTAGGGGCTGGCTCAGATCAAGGCCCTGCCCCACACCCACTGGTCCCACAAAGGAGCCAGCTCTTCTCAAAAAGTCTCACAGTAGCCAGGTCAGGGCCCTCCTCAGGCCAATATGAGGGGGATGGGTTGTCTTACCATGCACACCCACCCTGCCATCTCCTAGCACAGATGAGGGCTGTACCGGAGATGTTGATCTTTTCTGTGCAGAGGGAAAGAATAAGGGCTGGACTGAAAAGACGGAGGCATGAGACTGCCAAGGAGGAAGAAGACTATCGCCATGAGGCTACCAGGTCCTTCTCAGCTGCCCTTCCCCTCCCCACCAGGAGACAGCCCTGTAACCACCCAAACATATGGGAATGTGGGCTGGCTAATAGAAGAGGGACAACTGGGGGTCAGAACACAGAGGCCTACTCGCAAGAATGAGCACCTAGTTAAGGACAAGACAGACTTTTCCACAATCACTCCCCTCTCACATTAACGTTCTCCACAGAAGACACCACTTGTATCTCCTCAGCTCCTCCATCCCACTACGATATTTCCCTCAACTAATAAATATGTTCCTTCAAACAGCACTGAACGCCTCTTGGCTCAAAAATTGGGGCCTAGAAGCCCCTCTTCCCTATTTCCCAGCATGACCCTGATGAATAGGCTGCTCTAATCATGTTTCCCCATCCCCACCACACTGTAATCAGGCCCATCTGGGACCCTCTCCTTTCCCAGCCACCCACCCAATTCTGCCCAGGGTTCTAAGTCCACGATGCTTCTGGAAGACCCTCTAAGCCCTCCCTCTCCTCCTTGGGTTCCCCAGCCCAAGCCTGCCGGACAAAGAGCCATTCGAAGCCCTCCTCCAGGACCATGGTTTCATCTCCCTACGTGGTTGGAGTGTCCTGAGGGCAGGGGCTCATCTCTGTATGTCCAGCAGTCCGCCCTGCGTGCAAGAGAGAACCAGGCAGAGCCAGCTGACCCACAGTAACATCCTCCCAAAAATTCTCCAGGCACGTTCCTCCTTTCCCCAGCTCAGTTTCCCGACATGAAGCCAATCAATAATGGGATCAGGATCCTGCAGTGCCCGGGGTCTGGGGGGCCACAGGAGGCTCATCCCAAAGGCACTCCCTATCTTGACAATGTTTGCATAGCCCTGTTCACAGACACATGCTACAGCAAGGCTACAAGCCGAGGCCTGTGGTGAGTCCTGCCTGCTCTGCAAGGTGGATATCTGTCCCTTAGCCGAAGACCACCCCCAATCCCCAAATCCAACCCCATTAGTTCTGTGCTAATTCTACTGAAGCAGAGTCAAAGCTAGGGCAAGAAGTTACCCCCATCTGCCAATTACCTCAACGACACAGCTCAGGACTCCTACAGCAGAGGATGTAAACTGGCACCTCGAGGGTAAATTCAACTCATATATATACTCATATATACATATATATACACACACACACACACACATATTTCTTTGACTATACAACGTGCTGAGACCTTATGAAGTAAAACCAACGTTTAACAGCAGAAGGCTTGTTATATACACATTTTTTTAAAATCAAGGTTTCCAGTCGCGGTTGTAATGGAAAAAGCTGAGCTCTGGCATCTGAGCACACACCCCACAGGGCCCAGCTGGCCGCCGCTGTCCCCGTAGCCCGACCGCAGGAGCCCTCCCGTCTGCCTCCACCTTGATGATCATCGACGCCTGAGCCCGTGCACATCTGCGCGTTCAGCCCTTGATCAAGGGTCAGACTCTAAACCTGCCCCTTTTGGGAATGTTCGCGCCCTACAGAGAGCCGCGAGAGAACCTCACCTTCCTGGCTCTGTTCCAACACGGCCGCGGCGCCCCACAGCCCCGCCCAGGGCCCCTCAGGCCTCG